AGAGTACCAGCAAGAGCGCATACAACATGATTTGGAGTGGAAGGTACTAGACCCAAATTTCTCCTTAACAACTGATTTTGAAAACTTGTTAGCTTCTTGTTTATATACGTTGGCCTGTGAGCCATTGATGATATTGCATATTCGGTCTTTGAAAAAACAAGCGCTTTTGACAGGTTTACAGCTTTTGCGGGATGAATTCCACTTTTTGGACCTGTGACCATTTTTAACGCATTAACAGTATTTCTGCAGGATAACATCACCTCTTCGTAATGTTCCTTGAGTGATAGGCTGTTTTTAATATGCCTTCCTAAAAATTTAATGGACTTAACAACGTTTACTTGGACTCCATTTAGTAAAATATGAGGATTTTTCCGACCTCCTTTAGCCACGTACATTACGGAAGTTTTATCAGCATTCACATCGAGGTTAAGTTTTTTTAACAAGGATACCATATTATTAGTTTTTATTTGTAGAATATTGTTGGCGCTCTCGAAGTCGGGGCTTGCCACCAGCAAAATAAAATCATCCGCATATTGAAAAATATTGGTGTTTTCGTCAGCCAATCCATGAAGACCTAATGTGTATAGGTTAAAAAGTGTTGGGCTTAAACAACTGCCTTGAGGAATCCCATTGTATATATTTAGTGTGGAGTTACCCATACAAAGCGTCCTTTTGCAGAGAAAATTTATAATCCATGATCTAATCTGTAGCGGAATGTTTATTTCTATTAGAATCATCTGCAGGTAATTTATATCGACACATTCATAGGCCTTCGATACATCCATCGAGAGAACAAGAACCTTGTAATTTTTTTCTTTTGAGGTGTTTATTGTATGTAGTATGTCATTTATACATGTTGAAGTTGACACATGTTTGCGGTAAGCATATGATCTAGGTGGAAGAATATTATTTTCATCTAGAAATGTGTTGAGCCTTTGTTTGACCATGAGGTTTACGATCTTTGCCAAAACAGAAATTAAAGCAATTGGCCGAAAATTTGTACAAATATCTAGATTTTTTCCTTTTTTCGGTATGGGAACAATTTTAATTTTTCTCCATTCTTTAAAAAACTCGCAGCTTTTCCATAAATTATTAAAAGAATTCAAAAGGTTCTGTTTACTCTCATGGGATAGTTTATTGACCATTTCATATGTGATTCCATCCAGACCAGCTGCAGACGGCTTAGTTTTTTGCGCTAGAACGTTGTTTAGTTCTTCCATGGAGAATTCTGTAGACTGATTATTGTAAATGGAAACGGATATAGTTTGTCTATTATTGGGAACCTGTTCACACAGATGGCGTAAGTAGGCTTCATTATTGTCTGTGTTCCACTTAGAGCCACATAGGGGTTCAAACACTGATTTACAGCTCTTTATGTAACGGAAAAGCGATTTTGAATTAGATAACTGGCTTAAATCTGAAAGTTTGCGACGTTTTGCGCGATTTTTGGCACATTTTACAGCTTTTTTGAAATTAGATATAGCGTTGATAGCACATAAAGCATTTTCAGTGGTTTTGTATCTGTTGAATTTCTGTTCTGCAGCATCCTTTTTACGTAGGAGTATAGTAATGTCATCATTCCACCAAGTTTTGAATTTTTTTTCGGTAGTAATCGGAAAAGTAGAATTTTTAATTGTTGACTCTAATTTAGATTGAATATCATTCATATTGGAATCAATTTTGAGATTAGATAAGTTTTTGAAGAGATGTTTTTTTGCTAGGAAGTATTGTTCCTTTGATGAAAAATTATCTACGTTTATAAGGATTGGCCTGTGATGACTCCCTCCAATGCTTGTATTTTTTACATTCCAATTAAAAGTTGAAGACATATTTGTAAAAGTTAGATCTAACACGGAACCGAAGGAGTTGTCAAAAAGATTCTTTTTAAAAGTTGCTGAGCCATCATTTACACATCGGAATGCCGAACTGTCCATCAAAGTTTGTACAGTGGATCCTGGAACCGTGTCAAAAACGTCACCATATGCTTTGCATCTTGCATTAAAATCTCCACCAATTATAACATTTGACTTTCCATTTAGAAAAATTAGTAGTTTTGATATTTCAGTTTTTAAAACATTGGATTTAACAGAATGCGGAAAGTACACTGAGACAATCGTTAAATTTTGAGACAGGTTTGTAGTTTGACATATTAAGATGTCTAAGTTCGATGCAAAAGGTAATTTTTTCATTTTTATAGTTTTTTTGTGCAAGATGGCAACGCCACCATAATTGTCGATTCTTTTTTTGCAGAATAATCCATAATTGTTTACGTAAGATGATGATGCATTTTCATCTACATTAAAAATTTCGCTTAAGATGCATATATCGACAGAAAATTTGTTTAAGTAAAGTTCTAGATAATTTTTATTTTTATTCAAACTTTGTATGTTGTGCTGTAAGATTATCATGTTCGGTTTGGTTAGAACTGGAAGGTCCATCTATTGCTGGTGCTTTTAAGGCATTTGAAAAACTGTCTAAGATCTGTAATCCTTCTGTACACTTGGCATTGGTTAATGCGGCAGCCATTTGTTGAGTGAACGTGGATAATATTTTTTCATACTCAGAAACTTTGAAAAAATTTGAGAATTCAAAGGATGGTTTAGAGGGTACAATCGTTTCCTGTTCAGCTATAATATGTGCTCTACGAGGTATTGATGCTGCTACTTTATTGTAATTGACTCTAGTTCTCCTTCTGTTGAGTTCATCATTGAAGGAAGTAACTGGTCTTCTGCTTGTTTTAGAAATTTGGGGAAATTGATTTTCATAATTTGGTTCATCTAAAATTTCAGAGTAATTGTTTGAAACTTTAGGGATACATTCTTTCCTTGAAAGGTTGGTGATTGCCATAGCCTCCAGAATATTTTTTTCATTACTGTATCTTTTGCATTTTTTGACATCCATGGCATTATGATCTTCCATGTTGCATAGTATACATCTGGGTAAAGTACAGTATGTTTTGCATTTAATTGTCGACAAACATGTATCACATTTTGGCTCTGTGCAGTTTATGGGACATTCAATGTTTATCCCGCAAAGAAGGCATCTTTTTTTGGCTCTACATTTTACGGCTATATGACCTAAACGACCGCAATTTTTACATAAGCGTACAAGTGGAATATATAAATCCGTCTCCACTATAGAGTTGAACATTTTAAGTTCTTTTACAACGTAGTCCGCTACAATACCTACTTTAATGGTTTGCGACGGCACATACTGACCATTTTCATTTTTGTATTTGAAACGATATACTGATACAGCTTTGAAATCATTGTCGCTGCTGTTGATTTGATCATATATCATTTTGCCAGTGAATTCTACTGGTACGGATTTAATAACATAAAATTTTTGTACAAATCTATCTGGGATAAAAGCATTCAAACCAATAGATTTTACATTTGGATCCAAAACAAAATTATTTGCCGAGTTATAATTGTTGAAGCTCAGGCGGAAGGTTTTATATGCAATACTCTTTGATACAAAATGAGCATTTATGTTGGCACTGGCTAATTTGGCATACAAATGTAATTCTGAGTTCTTTCTTCTAGGGCAAATGGGCTCATCAGAAGTAAGAAGTACATAATATGGACCTGGATGGGCTGGGCTGTAAAGAATTGTTTGGTTTTCATAATTATCATAGCTGTAAATATCTGTTTTGTTTGTGTTTTTGGGTATATTGGATGGATTGGAGGGATTGTTATTGTTGGAGTGACTGTTGTTAGTTGTGTTGGTGGAGATGGACTTTGCATCATTAAAATATTGATTTTCATATGGTGTGAGAGTGGTGTTTTCTTTTGCTGGTGTTGTTTTTGCAGAGCACTGCGGCATTTTATTTTGCATAGAAGGCTGATTATTTTTAAACTTCTTGCTTCCAGGGTTGCTAAAAAGCTCAAATCTTTTCCTCGGGTCTAAACGAGGAGGCGGCTCCTCATCACCCATTTTCGCAGAAAATTGTATATTCTGTTGAAATTAGGAATATTAAATTTCAGCAAAATCACCAAATAAAATAATGTTTGTGTTATTGGTTAGATGGAAGGAATGTGTGTATTTGTGTGTGTATTAGTGTTCAAAGCAAAACAAACAAAACGCATAAAAAAGAAAGCGAAACGGCGCGCACGTAGTCTAAAGTCAACGAGAGTTGAGAGACGACTGTTTGTTACTTTTCATTCATCATTTTCAATTTTACTGAAAAAGTTTGAAAATTTTATAAATATTTTCCAGCTTTCAAAATTAATTTATTTTCGATAAATACCTTCAATTGTTAGGGATGGGACAAATTTCTTGGTTATTCAGAGAGTGATTCGAATTGAACAACGTACAAACGTCGGTGTTCGCTCAGACAATTTTAACATATTTACTTCATAATTAAAGGGCTAAGCAGAATGTTCGCGTTGAGCGTTTTTTGTTATCGCGTTAACGCACGCAAAAAGTTAAAATATATTTAACTCCGAAGCGCAGCGCACATCAACTTCGAGCGTTTTTGTTATCGTTTCCTTGTGGTTATCGAAAATACAACAACCACATAGAAACGATGATCGTTAGTGTCATCGTTTCCTTGTGGTTGTTGTATTTTCGATAACATTTAACGCGACGGATGGCTCAACGCGAGCATTCTGCTTAGCCCTTAAGCAGAATGCTTTTTGCGTGCGTTAACGCGATAACAAAAAACGCTCAACGCGAACATTCTGTTTAGCCCTTAATGGTCGAACCACGAATGAGAGAGGGAATTACGCTCGTCTGTACATGCTCGTCTATACAAAAAAGGTGATTAATCGAAATTCGATTTACTTATCCCTAATCATAATTTGCCTAAACCTCATTCGTAAACAACACGGTTTTCCATTTAGTCTCCATTCCACCTCATTCGTAAACTATTCATCTTTATCGGCCATTTTGTCTTCTCCTCCCATTCGTTAGCAGGTGGAACGTTTTTCATTTTTTTCAGTAGTCGTTTTTATCACGTTGTTGCGGCGTCTAGGACAACAAAATAAATAATAACAATAATGACCGCAGTACCTCCTCCAACAAATGTATCCACTCTGTTACCCCTGGGTGAGTATTTTGGAATGCTACATTACATTGATATATCCGTAATTAATAATTTATGGTCTTATTGAATCCCAATTAGATAATTAGGGAATAAGCCAAGTTTGAGGCCAGGCCGGCAATCGTTCTGAATGTTTTACCACAAGTTAACTTTGGGACACAAATTACAACGAGACATGTTTTGGTGGAAGTTTATTACTCGAGATATGGACATTCAAAGTCCCGTGGGTAGAATTCTCATTGGTTTAACTATCCACTAATATTAATATTTTCATTCATATTTTCAAACGCTTCTATGCTTCCAAAGTCCTAGTATTAAGTATACTAGTATTGTTCGTTGGACAATGATCTAAGACATTTACCTATAGACAGATTCCAATACTGATTATAAATTTATTTAATATGTTGTGCGACGGAACTCTTTTCAAATGATAGATTTATGAAGATTAGCCATCCATGAATCATAAATTTCCTTTTAAAAATAAATGTTTGTGGAGTAGTTTTATCCTTTAAGGTAAATTCATTGTGTACTATGTAATGATTCTGTTCATAAATGGAACACTTGAGTTACATGTGAAATAAATAAAATGAAAAAATGGCATTGCATGCCATTGTGGATGAACGGACTTCGGGAGGGAAATTTTATTGCAGCGAGTTGTTTTGTTGTTCCATTTCAATAAAACACTTTTTAATGGATTGGAATTTATTGGCCCATAGACGTTCCTCTAAAAAATTATTTGCATCTTTTTTTTTAGAACTTGTGGACAAATGCATTGGATCACGCATACACATTATTATGAAGAATGACAAGGAGATGGTTGGTACCCTACTTGGTTTCGATGATTTTGTAAATATGCTACTGGACGATGTTACCGAATACGAAAATACTCCGGAAGGAAGGCGTATTACAAAATTAGATCAGATTCTATTGAATGGAAATAATATTACGATGGTAAGACAAATAATCCCATGAACTCTATATGAAAATATTTAATTATTTTAATTTATTTTTCTATTTATTTCAGCTTGTGCCCGGCGGTGATATTCCCGAGTAGTAATAGAGAGCAAACAAATTTTTATTGTAAATAAACTTTATTATTAAAGTATGAAAACATGTTTCCTTTTAATAGATTCAATATTTATATGCATAAATATGGTGAATGCAAACATTATTAATAGTGACCCATGTTTCAGGGTAGTCGCCATATACTGGTTTCCCCCAATATTTGATGGGGTTTCATCCGAATTGTCTGTATTTTGGTACATTTTTGGATGTTTAATCTCACTGCCGAAAGTTATCAAAAACTCTGGCTCCACTATTCGGTATTTTGAGAATTCAAAACATCGTCTGCTCTTTATCATAACATAAATAGTTTTTATAGATATTTTGAGTATCAACTTCATGGAGGGTAGAAAAAGTTAGGCCCTTAACTAAGTTTAAGTTATCTTTAAAATAAAAACATATTCATGGCAAAGAAGATGTACCGCAGCTTTTAAATGGTGAAAATGACATTTGGTACGTTTGTGTTCCTAGGAAAATACATGGTATGTTCCCTTACTGCAAGAATTACTAGTCTTTACTATTTTTTTGATATCATAAAGTGACATTTTTAATCGTAGTAGGTTCTTGCAGAAAATACAAACAACAAAACAACTTTTTTTTGCAAAAATATCAGTTTTTGCTAAAAATATGTCACTTGCCTGTTTACTTTTTTGTTTTTACTTTCAGTATCGCTAAGTTCAATTGTCTGGTGCGCGAAATTTATTAAGCTCAGACTATTTGGAAAAGTGTCATGATACTGGTAACCTAAATTTATTAAACTCAACTTTATTTTTTGCGCACCTTTTGAAGTATATCACCCCTCTGTGCGACGTAGAAAAACAGAACCGTAATCGTATTCATTCGTAAAACAAGTGAAAAAGCGTTAAGTTCGGCCGGGCCGAACATTGGATACCCTCCACCGTAGATATACTGACAGGTACTAAAAACGAAAATATAGGGAACATACCAAAAAGTGGACCAATACCAACATTTCTAAAAACGGATTATGTAAACCTTAATACAAATTTCAGAATTATTTATAATGGATAATTATACCCTCAGCATTATAGCTAATGAGGGTGAATACACTTTAACACGGCGAAAATGTGCCTCAATGTGGTTCTAGACCCCATGTTTCTTTGGACCAACTCCGTTTCAGAAAATTTAGATTTCATCCAAACTTTGCCCATCTTATTATTTCTCCAAACTTATTTCAAATTCGAAGGTGGGGAAAATCGGTCCACTCCTTCTGAAACCACCACACAGAGACTAGGTCTAAATGCGGCTATAGTTCGTTATCAAACCTTACGTTCTAATTTTTTATCTCGCTATCCTCCGCAGGTGAAATGATTACAACAGAGTCTTAGAACCAAACTCAAAACGCGGTACAAATCAGATAACTATTTTAATATAAAAAATGGGGCGAATATTACAAATTTTTGGTAGGGAGATTTGTTACCATATACGACTACAAAATACCAAATTGCAGCGAATTCGGTTGAAAAACGCGCTCAAGAACCCCAAAATACCGAAAATCGGGGGTACCCTTATATGAGGGCTACCCGAAAAAATAGACCTATATTTATAATTTTTTGTGGAGAAATTTGATACCCAATAAGAACTCAAAGTACTCAATTACAGCCAATTCGGTGAAAAAATGCAGTCAGAACCCTCCAAAACTGAAAATTGGGAAGTACCGTTATATGGGGGCTACCAGAAAAAGTGGACCTAAAGTTATAATTTTTAGTTGAGAAATTTGGTATCCAAAAAAAAAAACATTTTAAAATTTTTAGCGAATTAGGTTGAAAAACACGTTCAAAACCCCCAAAATACTGAAAATTTGGGGGTACCCTTATATGGGAGGTATGCCTAAACGTGGACCGATATAGCCCATCATCGAACTTGACCTGCCTGCAGACAAAAGACGACTCTATGCAAAATTTTGGTATTCTATCTCAATTCGTTTGGACGCTAGAGTGATTACAACAAACAGACGGACATGCTTAGATCGTCATAGAATTTTACGCTGATCAAGAATATATATTGTAGGGTCGGAAATGATTATTTCGATGCGTTACAAACGGAAAAACAAACAAAAAACATTTCGTCCCAATGTAATTTTAATGGTCCTTCAAAGACACTATGTCTATTCTATCTAAAGGATATTGTACATATGAGCATCTCTTGTATGTACCCAAAGCGATTATATAGTCGGCCCGTCCGATTTTGGATTTTCCTTAATGGGTTTTAAATGTTTAACAGGTGACCGCGTTATAGTACGTTTACATTTAACCGGATTTCGTTAAACCAGTGCGTTTGAATTATCAATTCCTTTGCATATATGTCAAATAAATCCTCATAAAGTAGGTTAATCATGGTATAATAATAAAAGGTAACAGCAAGTGTTGTTGTACAAAAAACGATACAACAACCACATGGAAATTTGTTGTTGTAAGTTCTACTAGTGTCAACTCATTTGACAGAAAAATGTAAACAAACAAACAAATTATAATCAAATTATTTTTATTTTGAAAATGGAATATTTTCGAATCCTCAAAATAAAAATTGATAAACATGAATGAAAATCTATCAAATTTATATTTCTATCGCTTCCACATCTTTCCTTTAATTGAGCCATTGCCATATATATGTGTAACACGTATGAAAATGCTGGGAATAGCGAGTTATTCCTTCAAGAAAGATTTGCTTCCTCAAACTTTCCCAGCAGGCAGATTGAGTAAATTGAATACGGAAGCACATTAATAAAGAACAATTTCAAATTGTATGCGTTCCCAATTTTCCTGTTGGGTGATTTTTAAAAACATAATTTGTCAAATTCATATTGACACTAGTATTACGTTGGAATCAAATCAGCTGGTATTTGCTGTTACCTTTTATTATTGTACCATGTAGGTTAATCCGGAAAAAAGTTCTAATGTATATGCCGTTTTACATATATTCACAATTAGTTTGGTTTAAATCGGTTGAGTTTGAGATATAGCTACCATACATTATTTTGTGCGATAATGTTTCCAAGCCAAAAAATATGGCGAATTGGCATGAATGATCTCGATTTGAGATTATAATGGCCTGAATCATATTTGATTTAATTCGAATTTAGATATAGCCTGAAATTATGGGTTACAAAACCATATCGTATGCCCCGTTCTACTTTGGTCTTTCCGTACGTGAAATTGAAATTTTTTTCAAACTCAAAAATGTAACGATTAATATTCCACATTCCGAAGGATATACAACAGCTGACAATTTTTAGGTATTTGTCTTAATTTCCACCATATTTACAGTAATGTATTTTGTCGCCAACGCTTAGCTACAGCTGGCTTGATATGAGTGCCATCCCATTATATTATTATGGTTCGTTAAGTCTGTCCCTGCACCGACGAAACAAAGAACAAAAATAAACACAAAAACAAAACAACGAATGTGGAATTAGAGAGACACTGAACAACAAAATCCAGTTTGAACTTAAAGAATTAAGAGAATAAGTTGCAATAAAATACTTACGGCACAGGCCATTATCTCGACAGATTTTCACAAACAAAACGAATGGAATCTCACAACCGTCGAAGCAAATTCATCTAAAAAAGTCTAGTTTTAAGAGTCAGTGAGTGCATTTGATTTGATTGCTGTTGTTTGTTAACTTGTTTAGATTATTTGAAGCTGGCTGGCTGGCTGTGTGGCACAGAGTCTGTCTTAACTCTTGTGGTGTTAGCCACAACATCTTAGTTGAACATTAGCCGTGGACCAGACAACAACAAACGTCGCAAGCTAGCACTACTGAACGCACAACAGTTACCAACAACAAACGGTGCAACAAGAAGCATTAAAATCTCCCAGACAGTGCAAACGGAAAAAAGGTGAAAAACAAGATATGTTGTCAACCATTTGTTCGTTCATTTGGTGTCGTGGTGTTAAGTCGCAATAAGATCTGTTGTGAAACGGACGGTATTGGATTACATAGAATATTAATTGTGTATGCTGTTTGTGGACTGTCATTTGATTGCAGTGGCAATTTGTATTGTAACCAGAAAATTTGGTCTAAACGGCGAAAAAAGAAAAAATATTGTGTACTTTACAGGCAATTTAAAATAATGATGATCATCATCACTATCGCAATATTAAAAAGAAAGAAAATAATTAACATTTGCCTTCTCTTTGTATAATTTTATGTCTACTATAAAAGTAGTAATGTTGTGCAATTAAATGAAAAGTGATCTGTTCAAAACGAAGCTTGCATATGAAGTCAAAGTTCTTTACAAATTGTAAACCCACATGAGAGCTAAAACCAAGTTAATGAATATTAAAAAAAAATGTATAAAGTTTTCATAGATACCATGGTACCGTTAGTACGAATGAACTGGGTAACATACAAATATATCGCATGCTATAAATTTTATTTTAAATAATGGCACAATGGGTTACTCTCGTGCGACTACAGTTGGAGAGTTGTTTTTTTGGTTTTACATAAAATTAAGATTACAAAAACAATGAAAATATATGTTTGTAGAATTGTAATGGGAAATATTGTTTGGAATTTTGCAGTGATCATATACACACTTGGATTGAAAGTACACTTGTATTAATATTGGATTGTAATTGAAAACAACAAGACTGTCACACATGGGGCGTTTGGCTCATTAATATTCAAAAAAATACAAAGGTGTATAGTTGAATGAGCTAAATTGTCCAGAGATGGATGGTACTGCAATTTTGAAAATATGTTTAAAAACCATAGATCTATATAATTAAATGCGGAACAGTTACTAATTTTACCACCGATCAAAAATACACGAAAAATGTGATTATAATCTTCAATATCATCAATTTTTCCTGCTTCGATGCTAATTGTATCTCCTCAATCACTTCTTAATGTGTCGCAAAAATTGACACCACCATAATGATCATTTGAATATATTGGGCTACCTTTTAAAATAGCTCCCATATAACGGCTCCAATTTTGGGAAATATACAAATGGCAATATATACCCTCAG